ATCGGTCCTCTCGCCCCTTTTGTTCAACATTTATGTGAAGCCGTTGGGCGAGATCATCCGTGGTTTCGGGGTGGAGTACCATCAGTACGCTGACGACACCCAGCTGTACATCTCCACCCCAGACCACCCCAACGATGCCCTTGAAGTGATGTCCCGGTGCCTGGAGGCCGTACGGATCTGGATGGGGAGAAACAGGCTCAGACTCAACCCATCCAAGACCGAGTGGCTGTGGTTTCCGACATCCCGATATAGTCAGCTGGTGCCATCGCTGACTATTGGGGGCGAAGCATTGGCCCCCACGGAGAGGGCTCGCAACTTGGGTGTCCTCCTGGATTCACGGCTGTCTTTAGAAGAGCACTTGACGGCCGTGACCGGGAGGATTTTTCATCAGGTTCGCCTGATTCGCCAGTTGCGTCCCTTTCTGGATCGGGACTCGTTACGCACGGTCACTCATGCCCTCGTCACCTCCCGTCTGGACTATTGTAACGCTCTCTACATGGGGCTCCCCTTGAGGAGCACTCGGAGGCTCCAACTGGCGCAGAGTGCGGCCGCGCGGGTGGTGATGGGAGCGACGTGGCGCTCCCATGTAACGCCTCTCCTGCGCGAGCTGCACTGGCTCCCGGTGGTCTTCCGAGTGCGCTTCAAGGTTTTGGTCATCACCTTTAGAGCGCTCAATGGCTTAGGACCTGGTTATCTACGGGACCGCCTGCTACCACCAATAGCCTCCCACCGACCAGTACGCTCCCATAGAGAGGGGCTCCTCCGGGTGCCGTCGGCCAAACAATGTCGACTGGCGGCCCCCAGGGAGAGAGCCTTCTCTGTGGGGGCACCTACTATCTGGAACGAGCTCCCCACCGAGATACGGAGGATTCCGGATCTGCGTACCTTCCGTCGCACGCTGAAGACGTTCCTATTCCAGCAAGCCGGCCTGACCTAAACTTCTCCTCTTTTAAATGGGAATTTTAAATTTGGTTTTAAATTATTGGGGTTTTAAATATGGTTCAGCCAAATTTATCTAACTTGTTTTATTTCTATTTTAAATTTTGTATTTATATGTTTTATTTCATGGCTGTTCACCGCCCTGAGTCCTTCGGGAGTAGGGCGGTATACAAATTTAATAAAATGACAAAAAAATGACAAAAAATGACAAATGATAGCAGGGTTCCAGTATCTCAGGGGCTGCCTCAAAGAAGAGGGAGTCAAGCTCTTCTCCAAAGCACCTGAGGGCAGGACAAGAAGCAATGGGTGGAAACTAATCAAGGAGAGAAGCAACTTAGAACTAAGGAGAAATTACCTGACAGTTAGAAGAATTAATCCGTGGAACTACTTGCCTCCAGAAGTTGTGAATGCTCCAACACTGGAAGTTTTTAAGATATTGGACAACCATTTATTTGAAGTGGTGTAGGGTTTCCTGCCTAGGCAGGGGGTTGGACTAGAACAGTGGTCCCCAACCCCCGGTCCGCGGACCGGTGCCGGGCCGTGGAGTACCTGGCACCGGGCCGCGCAGTGGCTGGGGGACATGAACGCTGCAGCGCAAAGGCTCCTGGGCCGTGTGCAAAAGCTCCTGGGCCGTGCGCAATGGGCCGTGCGCAAAAGCTTCTGGGCCGTGCCCCCACCCCTGCGCGCGCTCAGCGGGCCGCGGCGATAAAAAGGTTGGGGACCACTGGACTAGAAGACCTCCAAGGTCCCTTCCCACTCTGTTATTCTATTCTGTTCCATTCCATTCCATTCCATTCCATTCCATTCCATTCCATTCCATTCCATTCTATTCTATTCTATTCTATTCTATTCTATTCCATTCCATTCCTATTCCTATTCCTATTCCTATTTCTATTCCATTCCATTCCATTCCATTCCATTCCATTCTATTCCATTCCATTCTATTCTATTCTATTCTATTCTATTCTATTCTATTCTATTCCATTCCATTCCATTCCATTCCATTCCATTCCATTCTATTTCATTCCATTCCATTCCTATCCTATCCTATCCTATCCTATCCTATCCTATCCTATCCTATCCTATCCTATCCTATCCTATCCTATCCTATCCTATCCTATCCTATCCTATCCTATCCCATTCCATTTCTATTTCATTGCATTCCATTCCATTCCATTCTTTCTATTTCTATTCTATTCTATTCTATTCTATTCTATTCTATTCTATTCTATTCTATTCTATTCTATTCTATTCTATTCTATTCTATTCTATTCTATTCTATATTCCATTCCATTCCATTCTATTTCTATTCCATTCCATTCCATTCCATTCCATTCCATTCCATTCCATTCCATTCCATTCTATTTCTATTCTATTCTATTCTATTCTATTCTATTCTATTCTATTCTATTCTATTCTATTCTATTCTATTCTATTCTATTCCATTCCATTCCATTCCATTCCATTCCATTCCATTCCATTCTATTTCTATTCCATTCCATTCCATTCCATTCCTATCCTATCCTATCCTATCCTATCCTATCCTATCCTATCCTATCCTATCCTATCCTATCCTATCCTATCCTATCCTATCCTATCCTATCCCATTCCATTTCTATTTCATTGCATTTCATTGCATTCCATTCCATTCTATTTCTATTCTATTCTATTCTATTCTATTCTATTCTATTCTATTCTATTCTATTCCATTCCATTCCATTCCATTCCATTCCATTCCATTCCATTCCATTCCATTCCTATCCTATCCTATCCTATCCTATCCTATCCTATCCTATCCTATCCTATCCTATCCTATCCTATCCTATCCTATCCTATCCTATTCCATTCCATTTCTATTTCATTGCATTCCATTCCATTCCATTTCTATTTCTATTTCTATTTCTATTCTATTCCATTCTAATTCCATTCTAATTCTATTCTATTCTATTCTATTCTATTCTATTCTATTCTATTCTATTCTATTCTATTCTATTCTATTCTATTCTATTCTAAAATAGTAAGACCTTCATAAAACCTCCCAATTGGCTGCATCCAAAAGGAAAGTTGATTTTTATCCAAGAAAAATAATGATTCCAAAGTCCACAAAACAAGCTGAGTGGGTAGTCCTCGACTTACGATCATAATTAAGCCCAAAATTTATGTTGTTAAGTGAGACATTTGTAACTGAGTTTCTTCTCTCTCTCCCCCCCCCTTTTACGACCTTCTTAGCCACAGTTGTTAAGCCAATCATTGCAGTTATTCAGTTAGTGGCATGGTGGTTAAGTGAATCCGGCTTCCCCATTGACTTTTGCTGGTCAGAAGGTCGCAAAAAGGGAATCACGTGGACCCCCCCCTTCCCCGGGACACTGGAACCGTCATTAATATGAGTCAATATTGCCAAGCGTCTGAATTTTGATCACATGATCATGGAGGGGGAGATGCTGCAAGGTTCGTAAATGTGAAAAACGGTCATAAGTCACTTTTTTAAATTGCCGCCGTAACTTTAGACGGTCATTCAATGAACTGTTGTAAGTCGAGGACTACCTGCAAAAGTCAACCTTCAAAGCTAAAAAAAAAAAAAAGAATATGTGCCTGAAACCGGCCTTAGTGAATATTCAATATGTTAGCCGGGTTTTGTATTATGATAGCTAGCCATATAGAGGTAGCCGTCGGCTTACAACAGTTCAACTCTTAGGATTCCCTAGCTAGCAAAATCAGTTTTCCCCAACCTTGGCAACTTTTAAGATCTGTGGACTTCAACTCCCAGAATTCCCCAGGGTTTCTCAAGTTTAGCCGCTTTAAGATCTGTGGACTTCAACTCCCAGAATTCCCCCGTGTTTGTCAAGCTTGGCTGCTTTAAGATCTGTGAACTTCAACTCCCAGGATTCCCCAGGGTTTCTCAAGTTTAGCCACTTTAAGATCTGTGGACTTCAACTCCCAGGATTCCCCAGGGTTTGTCAAGTTTAGCCACTTTAAGATCTGTGGACTTCAACTCCCAGGATTCCCCAGGGTTTGTCAAGTTTGGCTGCTTTAAGATCTGTGGACTTCAACTCCCAGGATTCCCCAGGGTTTGTCAAGCTTGGCCGCTTTAAGATCTGTGGACTTCAACTCCCAGAATTCCCCAGGGTTTGTCAAGCTTGGCCGCTTTAAGATCTGTGGACTTCAACTCCCAGGATTCCCCAGTGTTTGTCAAGTTTGGCTGCTTTAAGATCTGTGGACTTCAACTCCCAGGATTCCCCAGGGTTTGTCAAGCTTGGCTGCTTTAAGATCTGTGGACTTCAACTCCCAGGATTCCCCAGGGTTTGTCAAGTTTGGCTGCTTTAAGATCTGTGGACTTCAACTCCCAGGATTCCCCAGGGTTTGTCAAGTTTGGCTGCTTTAAGATCTGTGGACTTCAACTCCCAGGATTCCCCAGGGTTTGTCAAGTTTGGCTGCTTTAAGATCACCTTCTGCCACCGAGAGCCTCCCACTGGCCAGTACGCTCCGACAGAGAGGGGCTCCTCGGGGTGCCGTCGGTCAAACAATGTTGACTGGCAGCCCCCAGGGGGAGAGCTTTCTCTGTGGGAGCACCTGCCCTCTAGAACGAACTGCCCCCGGAGATACGGACGATTCCGGATTTACGTACTTTCCGCCGGGCCCTCAAGACTTTTTTATTTCAACAAGCCGGGCTGGCCTAACTTCTCCAATTGTTTAATTTGAATTTGAATTTTAAATGGGGTATTTTAATTGTTGGGCCAAATTGTTTAATATTTTAAATTGCTTTTAAATTTTTGTATTTTATGTTTTTTACCTTTGGCTGTTCACCGCCCTGAGTCCTTCGGGAGAAGGGCGGTATATAAATTTAAATAAATAAATAAATAAAAAAGATCTGTGGACTTCAACTCCCAGAATTCCCCCGTGTTTGTCAAGCTTGGCTGCTTTAAGATCTGTGGACTTCAACTCCCAGAATTCCTATGCAACTCCTATGCTGGCTGGGGAATCCTGGGAGTTGAAGTCCACAGATCTTAAAGGGGCCAAGCTTAAGAAACACACAGTCCTGTGTCATGTATTTTCTCACTTACGTATGATCCCATCTGGACTGTCCTCGTGCTTGGGCAGGTAAATATTGGAGAGGTCGCTCTGCAGGACTTCGTCCGCTGTTGCCCGGGCTAACGCTGCTGCCAGGAGAGAGGGGCAGTTACTGGAAGAGAAAGAAGAAACGAGAAAGATTTTGAAACCTTTACGGGTAAAAAGATTAAGATGAAGAGTCCTGGTGGCGCAGTGGTTAAAATGCAGTATTGCAGGCTAACTCTGCTCACATTGCCAGGAGTTCGATTCCCTCAATCTTGACCGGTTCAAGGTTGACTCATCCTTCCAAAGTTGGTAAAATGAGGACCCAGATTGTTGGAGGCAAGAGGCTGACTCTGTAAACTGCTTAGAGAGGGCTGTAAAGCACTGTGAAGTGGTATATAAGTCTAAACGCTATTGCAAAGGAAGGAAGGGAGGGAGGGAGGGAAGGAAGAAGGAAGGAAGGAAGGAAGGAAAGGAAAGGAAAGGAAAGGAAAGGAAAGAAGGAAGGAAGGAAGGAAGGAAGGAAGGAATCCATCCATGGTGGCACAGTGGTTATAATGCAGTATTGCAGGCTAACTCTGCTCACAGCCAGGAAATTCGATCCTCACCGGCTCAAGTTTGACTCAGCCTTCCATCCTTCCGAGGTCAGTAATATGAGGACCCAGATAGTTGGGGGCAAGAGGCTGACTCTGTAAACTGCTTAGAGAGGACTGTAAAGCACTATAAAGCGGTATAAAAGTCTAAGTGCTACTGCTAGGCTAACTCTGCCCACTGCCAGCAGTTCGATCCTGATCGGCTCAAGGTTGACTCAGCCTTCCATCCTTCCAAGGTCGGTAAAATGAGGACCCAGATAGTTGGCAATAGGCTGACTCTATAAACCGCTTAGAAAGGGCCGTGAAGCACTATAAAGCGGTATGTAAGTCTAAGTGCTACTGCTAGGTCAGGCTAACTCTGCCCACTGCCAGCAGTTTGATCCTGACCGGCTCAAGGTTGACTCGGCCTTCCATCCTTCCAAGGTCGGTAAAATGAGGAGCCAGATTTTTGGGGGCAAGAGGCTGACTCTGTAAACCACTTACAGAGGATTGTAAAGCATTATAAAGCGGTATATGAGTCTAAGTGTTATTGCAGGCTAACTCTGCCCACTGCCAGGAATTCGATCCTGACCGGCTCAAGGTTGACTCATCCTTCCATCCTTCCAAGGTCAATAAAATGAGGACCCAAATTGTTTTGGGGCATAGACTGTCTATACCCAATTCCAGCAACCGTTCTTTATATGTTTTAGCCTCCAGTCCTCTAACCATCTCCGTTGCTCTTCTCTGCACTCTTTCTAGAGTCTCCACATCTTTTTTGTAATGTGGTGCCCAAAACTGGATGCAATATTCCAAGGGTGGCCTTACTAAGGTTTATTAAACCGGTACTAACACTTCATGTGATCTTGATTCTATCCCTCTGTTTTTGCAACCAAGGTTTGCATTGGCTTTTTTTGGCTGCCGCTGCACACTGCTGCTTCATCTTTAAGTAATCATCTTACTAAGACTCCAAAATCCCTCTCACAGTTACTTTTATTCAGCCAGGTTAAGTCTAATCCAGTGCTGGCTAACCTTTTTGCCATTGCGTGCCAGAAGCGGGGGGAATGCAGGGGGATCGCGTGCCCACACCTATAATTCTATGCACCCCACGCATGCACATGAGACCCCCCCCGCTCCCCCCCGCTTTTGGCATGCGATGGCCCGGTGGGCCCCTTTTTTGCTCTCCCCAGGCTCCAGAGCTACTCTAGGAGCCTGGGGAGGGCAAAAACAGCCTTCCCCACCCAACCTTTTTATTCCATCAGGCTGGCCTGGCCTAATTTTTTCCCTTTTAAAATGCAAATTTTAAGTTGTTTTTAATTTATTGGGGTGTTTTTAAATCTGTCTTCGGCCAAATTGTTTAATTCGGTTTTATTCTGTTTTAAAATTTTGTATTTATGTGTTTTTATCTTGTGGCTGTTCACCGCCCTGAGTCCTTCGGGAGTAGGGCGGTATACAAATCAAATAAACTAAACTAAACTAAACTAAACCCGGAGGCCCTCCAGAGGCCGGAAACAGCCCATTTGCTGACTTCCTGTCCCACCGTTTTCACCCTCCCGAGTCCTAGAAAGGCTCTGGAGCCTGGGGAGAGCGAAAAACGGGCCTTCCCCACCCCACCCCCAGGCCCTCCAGAGGCAAGAAACAGCCGGAGTGTCAGACTGCGATGCTATCTCAAAATTAAATGAATTTCCAAACTGCCAATCTTTAAGGAAATCTTTCTTTAATTGAGCTCAGCCACCGGATCATGACTCCGCGCGGACAAGACTGACCTTTTGCCTCCCAATCCCTCCCTTTCCGATCCCCAAATCTCTGCTTCTCATTGGCTATCTTCCAAGTCATTCTTCAGACTTCTTTTCCTCGTCATTTCCCAGGAATGTGCCCCCTCCCCTCATTTCCACGACAACTGGGCTTCAAAGGGATTTAGCAGGCAAAAGTTTCAGAGTTTATCTCTCGCTCTCCTCTGCTCTCTCTATGCCAGCGTTGAAATGCTGACATCGAGCTGAGCTCGCGTGCCCACCGATATGGCTAGTGCTACCTGTGGCGCGTGTGGTTTGCCATCACGGGTCTAATCTGTACCTGTACATTTCGTACCTAAGAAAAATCTTACTTTTCTCTACACTGAACCTAGACAGGACCCAGTGCTCAAGTCTGGCGAGATCCATGGGGATCTTGAATCTATCTTCTGGTGTGTTGGCTACTCCTGCCAGTTTAGTGTCATCTACAAATTTCCCCCAAATCACCCTTCTTACGCCAACGGGTTTTCAAACTGTAAATTTAGAGCAGCCTTGCGTAAAAAACACGAGTCACACGGCATCTACCAAAAGGAAAGATTTCCAGTTTTTTGCATGTCATGTTTCCGTAAATTTCTTTTAAGACAGCCTTAAAGCTAAAATACCAACAATACCGACCAAATAACACCCTGTCAGGAATAAAATGCCAACCCTTTAACTTCAAATGCCACCGAGAGGCACCTCCTTTTCAGCTTCGGCGGTTGTGCCGTCTACCCACACAGTTGCTCGGAAGCGCAAAAAAAGAAAAAAATTCGCAGTCTAGCAACGCGGGAGTAGCCGGGATATTCTGTGCTGGCTGATTCTGACACCAGGCCTTAGCAGTGGTGAAATGTAAAATTTGTTACTACCGGTACTGTGGGCATGGCTTGGTGGGGGGGTAATATGACCGAGTGGGCGTGGCCAACTTTAAAAAAAAAACTTTTAAAACCATTTTTTCTACAACCTCTTTGGTTGAAGAGGTTGTAAAAAAAATGCTTTTAAAAGCCTCTGACGATCCCAGCTGACTTGCCTGATCGGCAGAGACTTTTCTTTTCTTTTTAAGCCTCTGATGATCCCCGTTAACTTGCCTGATCAGCAGAGGCTTTGTTTTTACTTTTAAAAGCATTTTTTCGACCGAAGAGGTTGTAGAAAAAATGCTTTCAAAAATAAAATAAAAAGCCTCTGATGTTTGCGCGGCTCAGCTGGGCATGGGGGGGGGCAGGGATTTTTGCTACCGGTTCTCCGAACCACCCGTCGCCATCACTACCGGATCGGGCGATCTGGTCCAAACTGGGAGCATTTCACCCCTGGGCTTTGGGTACCATTTAAGGCACAGCGAGAGACCGGAACGTGATGTAAATACTTCCTGAAAATTTCACAGAAGGTATAAAGGCAGTCCTCGACTTACGACCACAGTGGAGCCCAAAATTTATGTCGTTAAGCGAAACATTTGTTGAGGGAGTTTGCCCCGCTTTACGACTTTTCTTGCCGCAGCTGTTAAGCGAATCTCTGCGATGGCGGAGTTAGTCACATGGTTGTTAAGTGAATCTGGCCTCCTATTAGCTTGGCTTGTCAGAAGGTCGTAAAAAGGGGATCACGTGACAAGTGGCTGAATTTTGATCCCGTGACCACAGGGGATGCGTCAACGGTCGTTAAGTGGGAATTGCTGCCGTATCAGTGGCGCTGTAACTTCGAAGGGTCACTAAATGAACGGTTGTAATTCGAGGACCATCTGTATCTTCATTTGCTCATTCAATCAGGCGCATCGATCATGAAGTCCTGTATCTTTTTCTCTGGGGAAAAAATGCCCAAATTTTGCAACAATCCAGTCTCTCCATTTATTTGGTACTTATAAAAAAAAAATTAAGATCATTTGAACATCAAAGCAACCTCTTTATCAGGAGATGCGAATTCAAATGACCTTGGCAGTTTTCCCTAAAATCAAATCACCTTGCATGTTCACAGTTTCTATTTTGCTCGGAGGACTTCGAGCAGCTCCCGTTTATGTCTCCAAAGAACCAACCAACAAAAGCACAAAAAGGCTATTATTCTGGACAATGATCTAAAAGGTTTTGTCTCCAAAGAAAAACAAAATGAGCCTCATAGATAGCAAAGTCATTCTCTGCCCACTATAGCCTTTGATCTATTCTAGACTGAGTTTCTATGCTGCCCAGAGTTCTCGGAGAGTTGGGCAGCATAGAAATATGAATAATAATAATAATAATAATAATAATAATAATAGTAATAATAATAATAATAATAATAATAATAATAATAACTTTAAGATGGGTGGACTTCCATTCCCAGAATTCCCCAGCCAGCCTTGCTTTAAGTTGGATGGACTTCAACTCCCAGAATTCCCCAGCCAGCATGCTTTAAGATGGGTGGACTTCCACTCCCAGAATTCCCCAGGCAGCATGTTTTAAGATGGGTGGACTTCCACTCCCAGAATTCCCCAGCCAGCCTTGCTTTAAGATGGGTGGACTTCCACTCCCAGAATTCCCCAGGCAGCCTTGCTTTAAGTTGGATGGACTTCAACTCCCAGAATTCCCCAGCCAGCCTGCTTTAAGATGGGTGGACTTCCACTCCCAGAATCCCCTAGCCAGCAAGCTTTAAGATGGGTGGACTTCCACTCCCAGAATTCCCCAGCCAGCCTGCTTTAAGTTGGATGGACTTCCACTCCCAGAATCCCCAGCCAGCCTTGCTTTAAGTTGGATGGACTTCCACTCCCAGAATTCCCCAGCCAGCAAGCTTTAAGACGGGTGGACTTCCACTCCCAGAATCCCCCAGCCAGC